TCATTGTTATAGTAAGAGGCAGCACTGGTTTTGTAAAGTGATGGTCCTCATTTAGGTTTTATTGTAGTCATTCTGATTTGACCAATGTAGCTAACATAGCAGACAATGTAACCTTCATTAAAATATCAATACACACCGTCTAAAATGGTCAGCTTCGTACTGCATCTCTCTTCTCTCTTTCACGATATCCACAAACATCTTTATTCTATTAAAATATCTGTCAACCAAATGAAAATCAGATTTTCTTAGCAGGGAGTAAAACATTTACAGAGAACATATCCTTAAATGTAATTCAATGTTCATTGATATTGTACATGTACAATTCAGTCTGTGTGAACTTTGATAAAATTTCGGTCTGTACACAGGCTAGATCTCGAGATGATCTGCTAATCAAAATTACAATTGTTGTAAGAAGACTTCTTATGTACCTTGGTAAAATGATTTTGCTATAATGAAAGCCAGCAATGCTATATTGCATCTTTCTGTACTTTCTCCATCTTCTATAGTTTTGCCATTTTATGAAAGCTTTCTGCAACAAACTCACCCTACAAGTAAATCATAATAAATATTGGATGGTTAACAGTGATTATTATTATGATAAACTCATGTTAAAAATGTTGAAATGGAGAGTTAAAACAAGTTGTCTTTCTTGCAAGTATGACAAGTTTACTACCTGTACAATGTTCTTGCTTTTCTCGTCAAAGGATATATTTTTAGCTCCTCAGAATGRTCACAACTTTTTAGCCAAATCTTCCAGACCCTCCTGAGTTGCTATAAAACGATAAAATCTATAATAATTGCTTTTCATGTATAGGGTATAAGACAGTAATAAAGGGTTAAATGACTGGGTTAAGTGATTCAGGGACTGGATGGATATGAATGGATTATAATATAGTAAATTAGTATTTATAGCGGGCATCGCCCTGAATAGTCTTAACTAATTGCGATGCCCGCTAACTACTCATGTGTAAATTATTATTATTTATTGAATTAAACTTGAAACTTGAACTTAAGTGGATAAAATGGACTGAGAAATAGATAAATGGAAAAATGGATAGGACAATGAAGTCATGGATACAGGGAGGAAGAGGGGAAAAAAGGGAGGAAGGAAGGAAGCAGAGAAGGGAAAGAGAAAGGAGAAAATGAATGGACGAAATAACATAGTACGCTGTAATTCAAAAGGATGCAATGTTGTCTTTTACCAATTTATGCCAAAACTCTTGTGATTCCCTCTTCCTGACCCATTTCTGATTTTGCACTTGTTTGTAATGCATGAGAGRATGGAAACATGTCCTCTAGATAAAAAGAAATGATTAGATTACACTATAACAAGCAAAGAGATACTCTGAGACTGACTAGGACTTGAATACACAAAGAGAGTTTCAACACGGTAATATGAAAATAATAATCCAACCTGCAGCAAACTGACAGTTATTTACCTTTAGCGTTCTTAAATAATGATTGTGAGCCTTTTCTTTCCCCAACTGCTGATGTTGTTGTAACATTACATCTAAATAGTTAGGAAATGCAAAATAGTATGCTATTAAAGAAAGGTGCGTCCGACAAGGTATAATGCATGTGAGGAATAGATAATAACATTACATGACGAACATTATTATAGTGTAATAGATGTGTATTATAACAGAGTGTATGAATGCGCATGTTAAGTTACATGTTCCATTGCATTTGAGGTGGTCAGAAGACATTGAATAAACATACAAAACTTCCAGTGAATTAGAACTCTTCTCTTCCTCGACATGTCTCCTTTATATTCAATAAGGTCAACAAACTCTGCAATTTGTTGGTTCCTTTGCCATCTCATGGTCCACAGTGTCAATGCTTTTGATATCAATGAAATATTGCAATGCCGCACAGCAATTCCTGAAACAAAAATAAATCAACTTAATGTTATTGTAGCTTGTTAATTAAATCATGCAATGTAAAGAGGATATTATATGGATGCGCAGAGATATGGATTTTATCTTTGAGTGTTGAAAAGATCTCTCACGGGTGACCGTAGTGAATGATAATCAGTTTTATCAAATCTTACATAATAATGATGCAGACTGGAAGCATAAAAAGATAGTGTGAATGTTTGGTGAGCAATCTGATCATAATGTCATAAAAGAAAAGATTCAAGTCTAGGTAGATTTTTTTTTGTGTTTCATACTTTTCTGAATATTTTTGAGCTTTTTGACAGTGATGAAGTTCTTCCAACAAATCCATACTTTTGTKATCAAGGACTTGTCAGCCTTTTGTTTAGCAAAATACATTTTTTTCTTGTGTAGTCTGCTTTCATCCCAAACTGACATCCAACAGGTCCAGCTCTGACATGAATATTACAAAATATCAATTTGAATGAATGTTTCATATTGAGCTCATGGCATTACTTATAAATCATGGCATTATTCATAAATCAATTGAATTAATAAAATTAATATAAATTAATAATAAATTAATGACACTAATATGAATTAATCAAAAATTAATTGATAACATAATAACTTTGTACTGAATAATGTTATTATCAAATCAATCAAATTAATATATCATTAATTAAATTAATCCCCTAGAATACCTTGGCTATAAGGTTGARAGCCCAATATTTCAGTGCTGRGTGTTCCATTTCAGTTTGCATTTTTCTCTTTTCAATCRCTTTCATCCACTTTAACCATACCCATCTGRATTAAAGTAACATTTATTGTTAAACTAAATTTCTTCAAACATTGTTGTAAAAAGCCAATATGTACAATAATCCTGCAATCAGACTTCTAGAATCATACCACCTTTTACGTGAATAATTTGCTATTTCCAATGCATGTTCTTTCTTTCTCTTCTTGAGTTTTCTATCATTCAGATATCTCTTCCATGCTGAAATGCATAGTGCCTGTGCTGCTCCATTGTCTGAAACAATAAATAATTTATTGCTTGATATTGTAGTTTTTATTCTTTATTCGGACCAGATTATATAATGAAATCAAGATAGCAGGTTCACCAGTAATGTGAAATAACAAAGAAAGGCATATAACACACAAAGATATGTACAGTAGAACAATAGTCATTGTTTAAAACAATCTATCAATTCTTTGTTTTTTTGATGCCTCACTTAATCACAAGCTTGCTCTGATGGTGTGGTCAACCTCCACCACAACCTGGCTTCACTGACTTTAACAAGCACTTAATTATACTCACAATGTTGAATGGCTCTTTGCAATTTCTCATTTTTGACCCTTTGTATCATTACATAAGCCCTCCAATTCCTCCATACTTTAACCCATGTCCTGTATCTAACAAACCAATGTACAATTTTTTATAATACAATAAATGTACAAAGGATAGACAGACAGAAAGATGGTCACAGACAGACAGACAGATGAATGGATGAGTTGAGTATATTAGTGGAAATATGGATAAACAAGAAATGGATGGAAGAATGGAAGATCAAATAAATAAATGAATGGGATTCATGGACAAATGAATGAATGGCAAGGAGTAAAACAACATATCAAACAAWCACATTTTAATAATGACTATAAACTGGGCCAACAAAAGCAAATAGAARAACCACACTGCCCAATTAGTTTTAAACTTTACAAACCTGTTATGATATTCAGCTCTAATGTTGAGCTTCCATCCCTTCCGTCCTGACCACCATATCTCTTGCCATGTCCTGATCACTTTCAGCTTCAACTGTTGTTGATAATGAGATCTGCAAATAAGAAAAACATTAAGCAAAAAGTATCAACAGTTCTGTTGGTGATAAACAACGGGCATCAATGGGATACCTTAAAATACCAACATCACTGCATTCTACAAATGTTTTTTTTTTTCTAACTAATAGGTTATATTGTGAATTTTGTGTGAAAATGGCATAAGAATCACACAAAAATGTCTGTAACAGTATTCTTYTGACAAAGTTATGCACTTTGAGTAATATGAATATTTTTGACAGTCAATAACTAGTTACCTGGCAACAAAGGGATGCAATCTCCCATAAACATTCTTTATCCATAGAAAAAGGAACTTTCTTGCAATACATCTGCAACATGAAGGGATAAACATGGGGGTATATTCAGGATATTTTTTAAGTAGGGAGCAGGTCTCAGGGGGCAGTTGTGGCGTACGTTTTGATATACTTTAAAAGTTCTCACTAAGGAGAAGGGAAAGATATTCAAGAGGGAACAAAGCCACAATATACTCATTATTATTATATAAACACCCCCATCTTCCCCACCATTTGGATCTACCAATGATATTATACACATTGTATGAATAAAAACATCCTGATGAAAGATGGAAGGGAGAAACAAATGAATGAATGGAGAAAAGGATAATTAAAAAACACTTACCTAATTTTAAGTTCATCTTGTCTGCCATTTCTATTCCAGGTATATTCTTTAGATTTYACTTGCTGGGAGCCAACTTCTTTGTGTGTCCTATAGAATAGATATTATAAAAATCAATAACATTTTTCAAAATCAACACAAAGTAGAGAAATGGTTGTCATGGTCATTGGTTGTACGTCATTTAGGTCAACATTGTATGGGACAAACTGGGTTATCTGCAAAAGTAGCAGGGAAGTTAGGATGTTTTAGTCATAAAAGTACTACTGAATATACATACCTTGCTCTTATCTGTGGATTTACTGGCTGACCTATTCAAGATTATAGCTACATGTTATGGATGGTACTTAGAGAGCTCAGTTGTCCCRTGGGAGGAGGGGGTACAAAACAGCTGATAATTATTTTTTTTCYCAAGGGCAATATGCAAACAGTACAATCACATTAAAACATTGTTGARTGGTTTCTTGATAATATAAGCTTAAGCTTGAACGAAATATTTGAATTTGAATTTTCCCGCCATTTTGAAAGTAGAGTTGTTTATAAAGCTTCTTATGAATTTATTAGTCTAGATAGTTTCTTCAACTAAACAGAAYTCATGGCGTGAAAATGAAGTATACAAGGATCTACTTACGTACCGGTAGCATATGGATTACCAGTGTTTTGTGCTGAAGGYAAAATTCCTTGTGCTTTCACAACCAAATGAGAGTTTAGTTCGCGCAAAATCGCTCGTTTTGCTCCAACTCGSAGACTTTTATCATTCTTTGCAGCAAATTTYGCAGCTTTCCTTTTTGCTTCTGATAAAGAGAGCATTTTAGGATGTGCAGCAGCWMTGTAGCGTTCATTTTTTCCCTTGTTTGTCCTCTTTGAAGTTGAATTTGGACCATCTTGCTGCATTGCTGAGGTTGAGGACGACCTTGTTCCGGCYAAATCCGATCTTTCGCCGGACATTTSTCGACTACTCGACGAGRTCACGGGATGTAAAGAACAGGCACGAACGAGACAGCATGATATAAATACAGATGGCTCCTCTTGTTACTACCGGGTCTCTATGCTTCATACGCTAAGATATTAGTGGAAAAGAGGAAAAAGCTTTTATTYGTGKTTTTCTTGTCTTCATTTTGACAAGTTCTGTCGATGTCTTCACATGTTTCCGAAGAAGATATCAATTTAGTGAGCAACTTAGGGTGTCAATCGAATAACACGAAATGTCTTCATGGCACAAAGGAGTCAGCAAAACAAAACCGTTTCAATGAACAAGACAACGAAGAATGTCATAATTTAATRAATAGTGATAATTCAGGATCTGAATGTAGTAGTCCSAAAGAAATAGCCAGAACTGACAAATCGCCTACGAGTAGAAACATTAGTGATAAGGGATCGTCTTTCAACATCGAATGTGGTTGCCCAACATCTTTCGAAATAAAACGACAAAGTAGCCAAGATACGAATGTTTCAAGTAGCAATGGTGATATAGTAGAAGATGTGAGTTCCAGACAGCAGTTTCTACTTCCAAGTGGCAAAGAAATGTCAGACAACGGCAGTGGAAGGCTCTCCGAAGGCGATTCTTCGTCTGTGCATCATTCACAAACCGCAATGCACCTCTCAAGTACTTCAAATAATTGCACTAATAATAAAATAGAAAATAACGATTTTTGTGGCTCACCTCTATCAGATATAACTGATCCAGAACTAGCTCAAGTTAARGTACAGGAATGGGTCTCGAGGGATAGCAACAAAGCAAGCAAAAAAGTGCCTTTTTCCGAATCACCAAGTAGTGACTTTGAATGCAACTCTTCATGTGCTGAAGACAGTGGGATAAGTTCCACTGTTAGAGACGACGAAATGGAAGAAATTCCATTAGCTGATGGTACTTTAAGTCCAGAACTTTTCCAAGAAATGTCCAAACTTAATGTGAACGACATGGTGTCTTCTTGGGTTCCTAAGAGCAGTAATACCTATTCTCCAAACGTAAACAAATTGTCCTCGGTTACTACTGCAGAAACCCAGGCATCACAGAACAGACGAAAGTAAATCAATTAACTTTTATYATTAAACAACATCAGCTAGCCAAATGTATTTTGTACAAAAAATTGTGTTAAAAATTATAACAGTTTTATATATTGATCCCTATAGTTTATTGAAAAAGGTGGTTTTCATTTAATGGTTTTACAAAAATGCCAAAAATGTGCTGACAATGTATAATTYCTTTATTAAATTGTAGCAGTTTGCATATTGTTTTCCTATAAACATGTATTCTTTTCTTCCAGTCCAGGAAGTGATCAAGGTACGGTTGGTTGGAAACTATTTGGTAGAGTTCCTCCTAAAGAATCAGCCCAGTTCCAAACATTCCAAAGAGGTAGAAAATATCATCTATCACAGATCATTAGAAAATATCACTTGAGATTAATATCAATTCCTTTTGCTTTCTCAGGTGGCGTAGTGAGGAGATCATTTGAAAGACCSTTATCYAGGAAACCAAAATCGCCATCTCTAAAAAAGAATACCACTTCTGTGACAAATTCAACTACAGCTCTGATATTTGAAAATAGGCCAAGGTATGAGACAGTAATGCTGGTTCATGTGTGGTGTAGTTATGATAAAAGTATTCTCGAGGGGTAAAATTTAGTCTCCTTTGCACCATCCACTTTTATGGGGACAGGAAGCCCAGCAAAAATGAAAGGTTGCAAAGGCAACTAGGTGAAATGAGAAAAATGAAAATTGATACATAGATTTATTCATTTTCTACACTAGAAATCTTCCTGCAAAGTCTCCAACAGAAGAGAAGAAACACAGACAACAATATGAAGCCATGGTAGCACAGGCTAGAAAGAAAGGTCCATATACTCTGCCTATATACCTAATTTAATCCAACTAAACTTCAAACAACTACACAATATCGATATAATTTTACCTTCAATAAAACCTATGAAGAATTCTGCTCATAATWGAAGATGACAATTGCGCCTCAATCATAAATTGTTATTTCTTTTCAATTGTAGAACTTCAAGAAGCGAAAAAACAAGAAAAACAACTGAAGAAAAAAGACAAYCAGGAGAAGCAGATTGTCAGTGCAGCTACAGTCTGGATGAATGATATCCTGACAAACTGGGAGACAATGTAAGATTCTAGGAYCTCAAGCCAACRGTTACGATAAGGTTAATTTTTGGGTTACTKTTAGCTTATATAACTGTTTCTTTAGGAAAAGCTCACGTAAAGCSAAGGAGCTATGGTGGCAAGGAATTCCWCCCAGTGTCAGAGGAAAAGTATGGAAGTTGGCAATAGGAAATGATTTACAGATTACATATGGTAAGATACCCTCCCCTCCCCCCGTAGGATCTTCCACTTTATATACACTCCTTTTTTTTGTAGTGCATGACTGAAATTTTAACAGAAAAGAATAAGATTTTTTTTTGGAAAATTAAATAAAGCTCACTGATAATGTAGGATTTATCAACTAAAAATTTKTATTTTATTTCAGAACTTTTTGACATCTTTCAAGCTCATGCTTTTGAAAAGCTCATAGTCACMCGCAACAARAAGAAAAGGTTAAAGCAATCCAAGTCAATAGCTGAATTACCAACTAATAACTTTATACCAGTGGTCAGTAGTGAYCATAAAGTAGAGCTGATTATGCTTGACGTYTCYAGGACTTTTCCATCACTCTGTATCTTTCAAGAGGTAAGAAAACAATAATGGCCCCATCAATTGTATTATTAAGTTGAATTTTCACTAGTGTACGCTATTGTGAGTCAACAACTCTACTTTACATTTAAACAGTTCTAAAAAACACATTGTGTACTTGTACTTGTATTAACTCTGGACTTAAACTATTGTACATCTGGATGTACTATGTGTCAGAGCTGCTATGCAAGATATAAGAAACATACAGATTAGAGGCAGAAAATGTAGAAAGTTTATTGTACAACTTTATTAAGCATTTTTTAAGAGCCATTTCTTTTAAAAAAGGCAACTCTAACAAGGGGCTGTTCTTTCTGTCTAATCAGTTGAGTCTTATACAAGCAACTATGACTCAAAGTATGGTCAATATGCCCAACAATCCAGTTATCTTATGATGATCAAAGGCTGCTTGTGTAGAATATGATGATGTATWTTCCATATGATTGATATCTAAGATTAGGTCAAAGTCACCTTGACACAAAAACCATTGTCAATGTATTGACCAACTTCCTAAGRAAACATACTTGTCAAAAAGTCAARTYTTATTTTGGCTGKCGTAGGGTGGTCCATTTCATGACCTGCTACATAGCATTCTTGGAGCCTATACATGTTACAGACCAGATGTTGGATARGTGAGTATTGTTAGTTGTTGTTGGTATGTTGTTGAGTGGATTTTGCTTATTTGTCCAGATAGCAATTCATCTCATTTTTCTACTGCTTCCTTTTTTCCTTTCTTTCCTTCCTTCCTTTATTCGTTACTTATTTTCCTCCCATATTTCCTTCCTTCCTTCCTTCCTTTTATTCCTTCTTTCCTCCCTTTCTTGCTTCCTTCTTTGCTTCCTTCCTTGCTTCCTTCCTTCATCACTCCCTTTCTTGCTTCCTTCCCTCCTTCCTTTTCTTCCTCCCTCCCTCCCTCCCCCTCCATCCCTTCATTTTTTTATTTATTTTTCCATTCATTCATTCATCAACCTTGCCAGTCTTTGCTCATTAATTCATTCCCATCCACTTATTCACAATTAACTGTATATGTTTTTTTCTATTCATTTACTGATGCATTTTATTTATCCCTCCATTCATTCCTTCATTCATTTATTTATCCTTTCATTCTTCCATGCGTTCATGCAGTCATTCAAGTGCTCATACAAAATGAGCAAACTAATGGACTGATGCTTGTGTTCTGTTCTAGGTTCAAGGCATGTCGTTCATTGCTGCAGTTTTACTTCTAAACATGGACCCACCAGATGCCTTTGTCTGCTTTGCTAATCTTRTAAACAAACCCTGTCAATTGGTGTTTTTCAGAGTAGATCATCCAATGGTAAGGAACCCCATTTACTGCGAGTGCTATTGTTTTCACTGCTTCTTTAATCATCATTGTTCACTCTATACTCGAAAATGGCGATCCATAATCGAGTTCAAGTACTCGAAAATGGATGGTATTTTACTTGAGTCCGGTACTGTATTATAAACCTTACGTACCTGCACAGAGATCCCAACATAATGCTGACATTTCTTTGTGTGTTTTTGTGTGTGTGTGTTTTAGATGAAAGCCTATTTTGCAACTTTTGAAATCTTACTGGATGAGTTCCTGCCTAAAATTGCCAGCTTGTTTGTGGAAGAGAATTTTTCTCCTGACATGTACCTGATTGACTGGTAAGAAAAATCCTGGAGCCATCTTTCAATAGTCTCCTTCACGGTTACCCGTGCCATCTTGAAAGGTAGCTGTGCCTTTGCATCGAAGCGAGATGACCGTTGAGCGTGCAATGATAGATACCTGTGAATAATTGTCTGTAGGTGTGAAAAAAGGTTTCTATTGTTACACGCTCAACGGTTGTCTCACTTCGATGCAAAGGCACGGCTACCTTTCAAGATGGTGCAGGTAACTGTGAAGGAGATTGTTGTTTTTTCTTCTAATGATGTAATGCTATGTTTGACGATGCACAATGTCCATTAATTTTTATACTGCTAAATGATTTTTTTTTTGTTTATTAAAATATATATCAGTGTTCAAGTTTTAAGCTTGATTGATTATCGTATTTCGATTCCTTTTCAGGATCTTCACATTATTTAGTAAATCACTMCCCCTTGACGTGGCCTGTCGTGTGTGGGACGTATTCTGTAGGGATGGTGATGACTTTTTATTTCGTACAGCTTTAGGTAAGGTCTAAATACTGCTTAAGTCAAATACTAGCCCAATTTCCATATTCTAGTTGAATGGTCATGACCAAAAGAACTTAAGACAAGGCTTCTAGAAAACAAAGAATTACCTTACGATGTAAGCGCTACTTCAACCTAAAAGTAATTTATTTTCGTTTATTTTATTTTATTTTTATTGACGAAAATAAATAACTTTTAGGTTGAAGTAGCGCTTACATCGTAATGAATAGACCAACCTACAACCATTTATTTGATCTAAAGAATTACCTATTGTTTTCCCAGAGATTTATCTTAAATTCTTTTATTTATGCTGGGTGTCTAAAGTTTAATGTGAAATTAGAGCTATTGTTGCCCTATTTCAACTCAGGCTCAAAATAGGAAAAATAGAGAGTCCTTCAAAGGGGAAAGATTCGATTGAGTTAATCAATGATATTTTTGCAGGAATTCTCAAGCACTATCAGCACGATTTGATAGGKATGGATTTTATTCACTTGGGGCAGTTTCTTAGTAAGCTACCAGATGACATATCAGCTGATAAACTATTTGAAAGCATTGGATCCATTAATTTAAGCCGACAAAAGTTCAATCAAATTCTTACTCAACAAAAAGAACTGGCAACACAGATCAAGTCTGTGACGGCATCAGCGGGAAAATGAGGCATACAGTAACCTGTGAATTAGTAATAAAGACACTATTTGTATTTGGGGGAAATTGGGTGAAAAGATGTGTATTGTTGTGCTGCCTGTGTTTTACTAAATGTGTTGGGCTGCCTGTGTTCATGAAAGAGGACTACTCCAAGAAATCTTATTGACTAAGTAATTACTTGGRTTCTACAAGATTAAGTACATTCACATAATGAAATGTTGAAATTGAGACTGCACAKTGATCTCTGTGTTTCAATAAGGCAGCGGGCGCTAAGAATCACATCATTTACATATACCAAAAAATCACTTTTTATAGGTTTTCTTTTTTTGCTTATATTAATTTTATAATTTTGATTAGGGAATGAWTTATAAATTCAATTATTACAGATACATCTAATTACAAAAACGTTGTCTTGGAGGAAACATTATATGACAAAAGATGACCACTGAAGCCAAAAACTTTCTTTTGTATTTTGATTAATTCCTATATAGCAAAAGTTCTCTTTCTTGTACAACATTTTTATAATTATGTGTATATATAGTGTCATTATTCATAGGAAACAAATTATAATATTTAACCTGTACTCTGAGAATACAACGAGTCAGACTACTACACAGTTTCCATATCTTAAGTACCTCAATTCTTTTGGAAATTTATTTTTGTATTATTATGTTACAAGTAGGCACCATAATGAGAGTTACAGTAGACAAAGGAGTTGTTCAAATGAGATTTCTCTATTTTGTTTTAAATCAGAATGTCCACTTGATGCAAAACCATTTTAATTGTGAAATAGAGAGTTGGAGCATGAAGAAAGCCGTGAAATAGATATTACACTAAAAATATTAATATTGTGACTTACCAGAGGTCTCCGTCTTATTTCGTTTGTGTGTGGTTAGTAAACTAAAATATCCTAAGTAGACTATTTACTTTTGTAATATCTATGTTGCGGTTGCTTTGAGCTCGCTGTGGTATTTTCATTATTAATTTGTCTTCAATTGACGATATATTACTAATCCATTTTCTTTCACGGGTTAAGTGTCTTCACTCTGTATCTATTACGTTATGATAATGATGATGATGATAATTTCAAGATTAAGATTATGTTTAATGGAAGATATTTGTAAATAGATTGTACAATGATATTAAATTGAATTTTCAGACTCAAACTGTATTGAATTCTTCGGACAATCGTCTCGCAACCCATGCGTACATCCGGTTTACGGGTTATCGTCTCTCCGACTTCTACGTACGATTGTTGCGTGTGATTTATAACGTACAAAAATGCGTACAACTTCAACAATTTATGAGAAACGATCGCGCACTGGAGTCAATATTGTGCGAATCGGTCTGAAATTTAAAATAAACCTCTTCAGAGTGGACAACCCCTTCTAAAGCGACCGCCGAGTGGACAGTTAACAGTTCGTATTTTCTTGCATTCGACCTGTATCAAGCGGACAGCCCACGACATTATAGATACACCGTCATATGCGGGCAAGCTGCTCTTGACTTCATTAAGGTTGGAGTTCGTGTATGTTTTCAATGAGTCGACCTCATAAAGCGACCTCCAATCATGACCAATTARACTAAAGAAACGGTATGATTAGACTGTGGCACCTTGTAAATATTCTAGAGCATCACGCCCTGCGCTGGATAATGCTGCTATAACTTACCACACACTATCAAAGGTTCTAAGATTACACCCTTCAAATTGATCCCACTCAACATCGTGGGTCGGGCAGCTCGTTCTCRGATGACGGACATTCGAAGTAGCGCTAGWTTTAAGCGCACTRTCTGATTGGCTGGAGCAATGCCAAGCGATTGSTGCKTATAGACAAGTAATTTTGACTTTGCGTGTGAGTGAACTCCTACTGTCGCATAACGGAGACGATTTGTACAGATCAGCGTTGTGTATGTGTAATAAGGAATTATGATTATCGCGCGAGATCACCTCAGTGATGAGGTCCATTTCCTGTTATGGGATAAATGGGTCCAGCAGAGATCCTATCGCAAAATATAAACAGGCGCAGTATTGATTACTAGCCCAGCAATGATAGGAATGGAAGACGGGACAGCCAGGCTGATAGTCCATCGATTAGTGCGCAGCATCAAGCAGTGAGTAGTCTGTGTTAAAGTCTTCAACCGCTCAGCTTGCTTTACAAAGAATCCTGCAGTGAAAGTCGTTCATCGAGATGACTCGTTTGATTTTCTTCGCGATATTGGTAGTCGTAATGACTAGTAAGTATGWATTCTCAAAACCGTTGAACACGTTGTTGTTKAGTTGAACTGCAATTGTGAGCTTTTATACCTTCTTTATTGTACAATTTTCATCAACAAATGCCAGCGAGATATATGTTACCCAAAGCTAATGTAACCTCACCACACAGAGCTAAAATCCTACTGRATGACTTTAAGTTTTGCCTTTTTAGTGATATATTATTTACAACGTTTTTTACTTCAGGTTTACCATTTCTATTTGGGATAGTTAGTTTTTAGGGCCCTAGTTTTAAGWTGCCATTGGACTATTCCGAAACAATGTACGGAAAACCAGAGGAAATTGCGTCTTTGTACACTGTATTCCAAACCGCGACAGATATAGTTTCTGTAATCGCGCTGTAAGACGGAATGGCTCTAATAAAATCAAATGCCTTTTATTTCAAACTAAGTTAACATTTTTGAGAAATCGTCCACTTWATCATTCTATATGTACAACGATGATGGTCGTTGGGGAGAGTTGAAGACGTTGACTATATACAAACAGAGGGCCACTTGTTGTTCACATTGAAGCAGGGTTAAGCGATAGGTTCTCAAAACCTCTACCTTTGTTGATAAGCCAAACAAGGACGACGACAAATTGAGTTGAAAACCTTTAGTTTAGTGACACTAGTATCACACGTCGTCAGGCCTGTCCGTTTGCTCCGAGCGATAACGACATGCTTTCATGAAGCGACAGTGATACAAGCCAGATTGAAGATGTWTTAATCAAGAAACATTGCTTTGCTCTCTATAGCCGTGTAAAATAAAGTATATTCTATCGTTTATATCTATACTACTTTTTTCGGGACTGTTTCGATTCCGTTTTMTACAGTTTTTTTCTTCATTTGTCACTAGACTAAATTAATGYCGGAGGAAGCCAYCACATTGTACAGGAACACAATTACACTTCAACAGCATATCGCTTTCGGTTCGTAAAATGTTATCAACTCGACGCCTTGGAACCTTTGGCCTTGAAATTTAAGTAATGAAAAGCGTAATAACGAGAGMCTTGTATTAGAAAGGCAGTTTAAGCTCTTGATGTTCTACGTTTTTTGTGGAAAGTCATATGCTCATATGGAGACGTGCATGTACAGGCGTGCTGTTTTTCACCTTGGGAAACAGCACCTATAAATCATTTTTGCTAATCTCTTTTGGTTAATGGCTCTTATATCCGTGTCGAATCAGCTTTTGATGACCAAAGGTGTCTTGAGCTATCGGTTCCCTGCTGGTTAAGTTATTTTGCAGGGTTTCTGGTATGGAATTAGTTGAAAAATGCTATACTGACCTAACTGGCACATGTGAAATTCGACATTTGGTACCAACCTTATTTGGGTAGATAAAAATTTTATAAAGCATTTTAATGCTTAAAATATTTTAATATTTTAATGTATTAAAATACCTCACGTTTTTTTATCTTGTATGTTGATRAAGTTTCGGTCATTCCGGCATGGTACAAGCAAAAAGCTTGCAATCTGTGGACTCTTCCTTGCCGTCGACTTGTCCAGTTCCACTGATGGCTGAAAAGGTTTTTCTCTCAATAAACTGTTCTGAACGATTGTACTGCGATTGTACTGACAGTTTTACTGATGCAAAACTTTATTAGTAACTTATCCAATTAACTATACTATCGTTGACAAAATCCTTGGACCATTCCAYCGAACACCCGCAAACAATTTCATCCTCCCTGACCCCCTAAATGCAATGTTGTCATTGATCCTGTTACCATAATACACAACCATCCAAAACAAGACCCAACATTGATGAAAGGGGGCTAAGGGGGGAAAACTGTGAAAAAATAAAGGAGAAAAATGTTAGGCTGAAGACAAATAATTCTATGGTCCAAGGTTTTTTGGCAGCGATTGTACTAGCATAGCGGTAACCTCTRCTTGGAACTTTCAGGTGTCATGGGCAGGAAAGGAAAGCTGAGAAAGGCAAAAGACTGCCAGGCAATTCGTTGCTCCAAAGACTTCAAGCCAGTGTGTGGAAGCGATGGAGTATCTTACTCAAACAAATGCGAATTCCGAATTGCAAAATGCTTAGCCAGRAAAGGAGGCAAAAAGCTGCTTATTCACTACGAAGGCAAMTGCGGTGCTCCAAAAAAGATGAAGGAAACTGCAAACAAGAAGAAGAGGAACAAAAGACGTCGCAAGACTTGTCCTGCAACGTTCTCGAGGTGTAAAACGCTGAATTCCACCAGAAACTCTGTGTGTGGCAGCAATAACATAACCTATCATACTTTTTGCCACTTTAAAATTAGTAGATGCAGGTCAGAGCTCGCGGGGAAACCGTTAACATTGCTGTACAAAGGTGTCTGTGGTAAACCCAGGGTCAAAATGGTTTGRCCGATCGAGTCACAGTGRCCTAACAGGAATAGTCCAATTTGTGGAGGAGATGGTAAYACGTACAGAAATCTCTGTTTTTTRCTGATTGCGAAGTGCGAAGCAAGGAAAAGCAAAAGAAGGCTAAAACTTCAATACAGAGGTAATTAATTAAGTTTTATGATGGTAAAATGAGGTGAAGTTTTATGATGATAAAATGAGGATTGATGATAATCAAAGCAACGAAAAAAATTCTTAAAGAGGTTCAAGGAGGGATCGATGTAATATGTTCCAGACTTTTGGCAGTTTTCAGTAGCAAATTCATACTGACGTGAACAACACCAAAAGCCCTCACGTAAATTTGTAAATGTTTTGTGCGTTTTACGCTAGACGGACTCATCATCATGAAATCTTTCGTAAGTTTTGCCGCTTCACTTCACCTTATCAACCTTATCAAAGGTGTACACATGCGATTTGCGCAAGATTCTGAATTTCCAAAGTCAATGATCATCATTGCTACACGAAAATCAATAAATAAAAGTAATTTTCTGTAGTATCAGAGAAGAAATTCTAAAGTAACGGTTTACAGATACTTCTTTGAAAAAAATTGATGAAAAAGTGCCTGAAATTTTCACGACTCCMGCTATCAGGAAAGCGTTGAGTGCGGTGTCCTTTGTCAGGAATATCACCAAGAAATTTTATTTTCAAAACCTTGATTGTTTTCTAAATCTTTCGTTTAAAATGTGATAAATGTCTTCTAAAAACATTAGCTTTCTAAGCATTGTCTGCCTACCTGGCATATTTATTTAAAAGGTGAAAATTTTTTTAAAGYTTAAAACATATCTCACGTGCTGATTCCGTGACAAATTACTTTTGATCAAGAACTATTGATAATGARTTACACACGTTGGCATTAAAGCTAGGGCGAGGGGATATCTCACGATTCTTTTGTAATAATCCTAGTGTAGAACTGTTATCGAGCTATAAGTAGGGTGTAAAGGAAATGCGAGGAATGCTTGCAAGACATCGTGTATAATGACTTTCAGTCGTGTGCGTATACGGCTTACTGACCTAAAKGGAACGTGAACGTAATTCAATGAAGGAAAATCCTTTTTTCGTTGTATTTAAGCCTATATAAAGAAGGTGATTCTAGATTTCTAAACCTTTATTCCAACAAAAGCCAAAGGTTGAACTATACTACGAGTGCCCTGGAGCTAGCTTTTTGTCCATTAAATCTTTTGATTGCTTTATGTTTTTCAAGTTATAAACTATTTTGGTCYTAAATCTAGAGTGAGACAACAATAGAAGCGTAATCAGTATTATCCTTCTACAGAGTATCGGAAAGGACTGCGTTTGTGTTGAAAGCTTCAAAGTCTTAACACTCCATTCTAGTATAAACACCATGACATGCAAGCAGGCCTAGTGCTATACATACGCATTATAAACTATTGATAATATGAAAGAAAACKCTGATGCCTTGGAAAACAGACGCTATTGAAAATCGACCCAGACAGAAAAAAATATCTCAGTTGTTTTCGTTCTCCAGATGTCTTGATAACAGTTGTTTAAGCCATCAAAGAGCGGTTTAAGGTTATCGAACACATCAGAAGTCACTAGGCATTAAGGTTTTTGTCTTTACAGAGATGAAGTAAACTTTATGATAAAGAATATTGATACTGGTATTGAAAACGACGAAATGTCTGCGTGTCAGTGTATTTAATTACTCGTCATTGGTTAATGAAGCAGCGTTGAACGCTCCTCGAGCCTTTGAGGGTCTTTGAGATAGCGTGATACCAACAATAGGCTGGTAGGGGATGGAAATGTGATAAAAAAAACTGTTTCAAAAACTGTTGTTTAAACTCCGTCGTATCTAACATGTTAMGAATTCATTGTAAAGGTCTATTGAGATGTAATAAGCTTCGACGTATTCATAGCAGAAACTCTTTAAGCCGATCCGCTTAGTAATGTGGTCGTCTTATATGGAATTTAGGTTGAAGGGAAAGACCATTTAGTTGCCGAAACTTTCTCGAAATAGTATGCGATGTAATTAAGCCTGACKTCCTCTATCTGGCCTATGATGTGTGGTCGCTTTATAGAGTTTGCGAGCTCCTCTAATGAACGAACCTCCGTAAAACKGCCTTCTAAAATAACTAGACCATCGCGGGTGTTTATATAACTTGGGATGAATAGGCTATCGGATTAATTATGACGCTCATGATGATATCGRTATGATAACTAAATATGGATTGAAGTGTATTTTATTAACATACTTGGAATAAATATAAACAACTAATGAAAATAAAACACAAGGTCCCGGCTGTGATAGGAAGAAAGCTTGTGGCATCGGTTACTCATCACGTAGAAAGCTGTAAGACTTGTAAACAAGGCTTTTATCCAAAGTAAATACAACTCAAGGTCTCTTGTGGCGATAAGCTGGAAAGGTCCCAAACGCACCCTAAAAACCACACCCATTTGAKGGCATGCAAAGCAATCCACGTGTTTACTGGTTAAGAATCCACTAGTTGCAATGCTACATCATCAAGCATTCTTTTATAAAAAGATGGAAAAGTTATCTCTCTGGTTGAAGATATCGGGATGAGCATCTCCGACAATTACGCCCATTTAATTGTATCATGCTGCGACGCTTGAATCGATAATCAAGAACAATTGGCGAAACCTACAGTAGACTAATATATTAAGATTAAGGCCGGTTTTGAACGCTGCTTTTCGCATTTCGGGTGAAATATGTGAGCACATGTGAGACTGATTGGGCGTGTAATTAATTATTTTCTTATTACAACACAATTCCTGAGTTGACTTGCAAGTCGATCCTCTGCGTACCTTGTGTTTTAAGCGGGCTTTTTATCTTTGCCTGTAGGCAGTGCGTCTATCTTCTAAGTTAATCGCTGTAAAAACCCACAAAGATCAAGCGATTTCAGTGGTTTCCTGTGTTAGTAATGTCTCAAAGGACGCGGAAATTACAATTAGTTACTGATTACTTTAACTATTTTCCTRGTGTTGCTTTTGTTCAGTTTGCGATACGATATTTTCCATGAATAGTTCTATTTTTGTGACGAAAGGCCGTATGGGGCCTCTCGTCACTATGTCATGTGTGGTGACCGAACCGTAACCATCCACTTGTAGCAGGCGTTCCTTGCGAGTCCTTCATATGTTAAGTTGAAAAGAAAAAATCTGAAGAGAAAAAAAAAGATGTAGAGAAAAAAAGAAGAAGTAACAATAGCAAAGAAAACAAGAAAAGAAAACAAGAAAAAAGAAAAGAAAACAAGAAACAAACAAAACAGAAACAATAAAGCGACAAAAAGAAAAAATTACAGAAGCAGGACTCGAACTCAGAACTTTCACTTCAGGAGAGGATGCACCCCCCCTGAATACATAAGAAATAATGAAAATAAAAAACTAAAAAGATGGGACGATTCCCCCGAGACATTCTATGAAGCTGAGGCGGCGAATCGGCTTACGTTACGGTTAGAGATTTCGGCCCTTCCACGCTATCCCGAGTGAACATAAAACTTAGTCTTAACCAAAAGGCCAGGGAGTGAGGGGGTAGCCGCCCACTAGAGCATACCTTTAGCTACCCTCTTAGACCATCGTACTATGAAGACACTTATAGTTATCGAAAACCTAATTGGGGTAGTCTATTCGGTGAAGTTCTATGCTAATGTGTGACGTCACGAAAATCCTTAGGGAGCAGCGAGCCAATCAGAGCTCAGTTCAGGAATTAGCAAAGCATACAGGGTTTGCATAATCATTCTTTAGTGGATTCATTCTTTGATGGGGGTGGGGATGGGTTTCGGCCAATGACCGATGTACTCGATGTACTGTGACGGCAGGCACCGAGCTGTTGAATTGTCGTTATTGTTTTCCAAATCATCACAGGYAAATTAGGTGTACAATTCTTATATCAAAGAGACATTATTATTATTCTGATAAACACGACGGCACTCAAATCTCTTMAATTTCTTAACGTAAGTGGGTTTATTAACCAGGCAGAAAATTGCTGGAGCAACGGAACACAATAAAGACCTCTAGAACTTTCCATGCATATTAATTAAAATTAATATGAATATAGTGAATGTTAACAATTGAAGAGGATGAATGACAATCCGTACAAAATTAATAAAGAAATCAAGGAAAACTTAGCAGTCCTTAGCAAGCTTTCGGTTTTATTGCAACACTATAATATGATAGTAATTTTCAAAACATGGATGTAAAAATGTTTTGATAATAACAAACATTTTATCGAAGAAAACGTTCGCGAGTCAACAGATACAGAAAGATGTCTTTGATTACTAAATTAACGAGGTGGACCGCTGTCCATTTCGTGGATAAAAAATCCCTTTTCCGATTCTTTCAGATAGATATGTTTACTGTAGGCAGGGAATCAGCTAGGGCGCCAACGGGAGGAATGATCAACCATCACAATAGGTTCCTTGGCCCCTGGGAATCGCCGCCTGGTGTGTATTTATAGGCAACTTAATGGTTGTTCGCCACGTGATGCTTCCAGTGCCTTGCAGCGTATACAGATAATTCAGAAAACGTTGTATACTGAAGATAGTGTATTCGAATTTACTAAATCTCTTAATGGCCTGAGTCACATGCAGTCCTCGACTGCCTATTTTTTATTTGGCTTTGACAAAACCCGTGAAATGGATACTAAAAAGCGTGAAATAGATGCTAAAATAATGAGATATTGTATTAATACGGTCAATACCAAGATTAAAAGAACGAATCATTTAATATATTTATGTATAATTAAGAAAAGTTAATGTTTATATGCAGAAATTCATAATTACATTATACTGAATTCCATTGTAAAGTGTTATTAATTTAACACAGGGACCCCAAATTCGATTGTAGGAGTGAATGGAGGATAGRACAGGAAGTCCGCGTTCAACATCCTTTTAACAGTAGTTTTTCCCGTGTTTGTATCTTACAGGAAGCTGCGGAAATCCCGTTACTCCAAAACCTTGTCCAAAAAGCTGTCCAACAATCTATAAGCCAGTGTGTGGAACAGACGGAAAAACATACAAAAATGGCTGTGAGATGGCTCGAAAGAAGTGCGGCCTTGCTAAAGGTCAGAAACGCCATCTACGGGTGAAGCACAGGGGTWCWTGRGACAACCCATCCACGCCCAAACCTTGCCTTACGGTCAAGAAGTGTCGACGCAAGAGAGGGATGCCTGTGTGTGGGACTGACGGCGTGACTTATCAGAGTAAATGCCACCTGCGCGTGACAAAGTGTTTAGCCAAGAGAAACAAACGCTCGCCCATTGCATTGAAACACATGGGGAACTGTAGACACGGGAATGGAGTTGGTGCAGGGAACTTTTGAGTTGAAGTCTTGATTGTTAATGTTGATTATACAAACTGAACATGTGCAGCAGGGTTGRACGTAGAATTAGACAAACACTGGAAAAAAAGGCGCGCTTTTGTGCCATTTTGTACAATACACAGGCGTGTAATCGTCGCTCTTTCATATGTGCGCTATGTAGACCCAAAAATCCGTTTTTGTGTTTCCTTATCAGAAAACCTTACATTTTTGTAAGAAAGATTTTGTGAAGTATCTTAAGAAAGAGTATACTGGGCAAATCTCTGCATGTCCCGTCATACTTTGCTCAAGAAAATGATGGATGTCGCTGCACATTGCCTTTTAAAATATTTTTGTCACATGCAGGATATTTACAATGTTTTAACAAGAAATGAACGAGCGGATTTTAATAAATTAAATATCTTTAAAAAATCTTGTCTTACTAACGTTGCGTTTTCAGATAGGATGCCTGTGGAGAAAGACATTTCCACAGGCATCCCAAGAGAGTTGTTCGGATTCATCAGTGTAGTAATCGGTACGCAACAGCGTTTATCAGTGTCAAAAAGGGATCCAGACGTCATTGATAAACCTAATCTTTGACAAGTGCTATTTACTCGTATAGTAATACTGCAAAATCAATCGCATTGTGACTTTTATATATACATATTTGTTGAAGTTGTTTTTGTAGATAGAATTAATGTATTATTATTTGAAAATGTTTGTTTTATTAAACGGCTTTAAATCCTTCATTTCTCGCATTCTCTCCACAATCTGTAAGCTAGTTTCTGAAAGAAATCTAAGTATTTCGCATATTTCGAATTTGGAAATGATTCATCAATGATTTTGAAAATATTTAACCTGTGTAAGCGCTCCAAGAGCGTCCCATAGTTTATTGTTGAAACGCAAATATCTATTTAGACGGCACAATCTTTGCATGCAACTGCTGGCTGAAACATGCCTAAGTCATCGATACCACATGTTTACAATTGTTTTAAATCCCTACAACAGTTGTAGCCATGTTGCAAGGATGACCTACACAGGTTGCATGAGATGCCTGCTAAATAAAAGTTGTGCCGTCCGCTTCATCTTTTTCGCAATCTTTCGATTTTGTTGATATGGTCGCGAGTCCCATCACAGTCGTTCGCGCGTGTTCTTTTTTTTTGTTAGTATATTCTCTTTCTTTCCTCTTATTAGTTAATTGTAGAATCCTTCATAGAATGTTGCAAGCACTAAATATTTTGTACACAAATATTAATCACCATGCCAATCCCAAAGTTGGAAGAATGACAGACGCGAGCCACCAGTGACTCATAGACTTAAATACAATAATTCCATTCCATCTGCAAAAATGATGAATCATACTTCTGGCAAGGGATCAGGGATCAATGTTATTTTGGAGATCAAGTCAGGTATCTTTTATTTAAGGCTCATGATTTACCTCTTGTTMACCATCTTCGGGAACCAAGGGGATTTCCTTTCTGTAAAGGCCCTGGGTTTCCGAGGAGGCTGGTGATTTCCCGGTGAATTGGGCTAATCATATCCCGTATCCCACTTTGATCAATCTGACTTAACCTGTATTCATACTTGTTCCTTGTTTTATTTCAAACTCAGTGAAATATCTWCATGTTTTTAGCCAATTCCAATTTTATTATTTTTTTCTCTTTTTCTGTCCAAATTTTCGTCTTTTGCTTTTGATTAATTGATTGATTTTTCTCCCACAATCGATGGGCCGTRCAAATATTTTTRGGCTGAGTCAGCCCTATTCTGAAAGTATTCCGTATATATAGTTTCTGAAACCTTAGACGTTTAAAAAAGGATTTTTATTTTCAAGACAAAATTCAGGCTCATTAAAAAACAGCGTCCCGGCGGGGAAACAGGATTTATTTTT